CAGGAATGGAGGTTTTATTCACATCTTTCATACATAGGCTAATTCTACCATTCTTCTGGTCAAATCAGCAGCAGCAGAGGCAATGAGAGAAAACATTTTTAGCATCAATATTTGAGAAGTATTTCTGCTGTTATCATTAAGCATAATGAGAACAAAAGAAGCTTTGGTATCTTTCCTGGACAATTTGTTGACATTTGTACTTCAGATAGAAAGCCTTAAGAAATGCAGTAGATAAAAAGCTCTTTTTAAGGGTTTTGAATATCTTGAAGTGCAGGTCTGTGTATAGAAAAGGCTTTGGAATAAAATAAATCATGAAAAGAAAATAAGCATTCTTTTTCATTGCCAAAACAGACATTTCCAGCTTACTTTTGCTCAATATCAACACAGGCAGAGTGATCCAGACTTTGATATTATTTGCAGTAATTGGGAAGCCAGCATAACTCTACTGCTGTCAAAAGATTGTGTTTGTGTCCTTGTACCGCATAGCAGCATTATACTTACAAACTGTATGATAGCCATTCTAAAACCATCCTCCTCCTGTTAAAAATGTTTAGGTTTTTTTTCTAATCATATGAAAGTAGCTGCAAAATGTGAAAGCAGATATTGTGAAATGTGAAAAATACAATCATGCCATTTTTTTCCTACTCCTTTTTATCCTAGGTGCAACTGTGCCACATTTTTTCTATACCAATTTGAACCCTAGTTTTCTAGTTTCCATTAGAAAAAAAAACCCCAAAACAACCAAATAAACAGCACAAAAGGTAGAGAAAAAGGAAGTGATTGAAAAAATTGGAGAATAAAGATACATTCATCTCAAATTGCTTTCTATATTAAAGTGTAGGAGTAAATACAATTTATTATAATGACATGATGAAAAACAGTCTTCAGCTCTCTCCTATGTAAAAAGGATATGAAAATCTGAAATAGTACAAAAAGAATGTAGGTAAGAATGACATTTTTTGTGTTGCACTCTCTTTTTTCTAATGAAGCAGTTGTAGATGAAGTTGTGGGGAAAGAGAATTTGTTCCGGATTTTTGCTCTGTTTTCCTCAAATTTTCAACCATCAACACTGAAATGTTAAGACTTTAGCACAACTTAAACGCACACCTTCATTGGATGTGATTGCTATGTCCTTAAAGTTTTGTCATCCCTACATCTGTGTACTCTCTGATAAGAGTCAGGCTTTCCAACTGAAGCATTTTATGTAGCATAAAAACCAAGCTCATGGAAGTAGCTGCTTGAACCTATCTCTCTCTATCCCATGATTGTTTCAATTTTGAGACTAACTTATGCCAGCTAGTTTTGCTTTAACATTCAGGACAAATAGAGTTTCAGAACACCGAGTGCCCCAACTACTGAAAGGGTCTTCTGGCGTATTAGTGAACTGAAATTCCTTTTTCCATCGGACAGAGACAAATGTGAAACCAAGGTTTCCACTTGTTGCATGAATATTGTAGCTGAACCAAAATGAAGATCTGAGCCTCAAGGCTATTTACACAGTCAGGAAAATTGAGTCTAATTAACTTCAGACATATAGTCAAAGGTAAACCACATTATACCCACATGCAAATATCCAAAGATATTTGCCATTTTTTATCAAAAACAAACTTCTATTTGTTTGTCAAAAAAATGATCAATAATTCTTAGCAAAGTTGTTGGTGATTTTCTGATTGCTTTATTTATTCTTCGATTGTTATCCGAGAATTTTGCTTTAATTAATAAATTAACAAGCATGTTAACTCAGTTCCATAGGAGAGTCCAGAACTTAAGATCAAACACAACTTTGGTATTTCAGTAATAATAAGAGAGATAAACAGTCGTTGTCTCTAAGGCAGTAATATGCCTTGACAGTTTAATGAATGGATCTAAGTGTGATTCTCTGTGTTCAACACAAAAAGCCTTGTCGTGTCATGTAGGAAATGAGCTAATTTTTCTCAGGACAGTGGTGATCTCATAAGCATTTTAATACCAGCTGATGTAAAGTAGCTACAGAGAAATATATTTCCTCTTAACAGCAGCCCTCCTTGGTGATCTTTGTTTTATGAGCACCAGGGCTGCAACACTTGTGTAGCTAACATTCATCACTTGATTCCTTTCCAAAATCCTAAGGGCTAAATTAAAAAATGGATTTAGGTGCCTGCCTATCTACTTCTTCTGGCCTTGGACAAGACATAAAGGAGCATCTGATCAGGTGGAATAATTTTAAGCTTTTTTAATTTTAAGCTATGGATTTAAGACAGCACACTGTTAAGCTTAATTAATTTATTAATGAACAAGTTATCTCCAAAGATTTACTGAGGGATAAAGCAATCAGAAAGTCATCAACAACCTTGCTAAGAGATAATTAATCACTGCTGGAAAAACAATAAATACAAGTTAATCTCAGATCACAGCCAGAGGCTCTATGCAGCTGTAGTGCAGCACTGAAATGTGAGCAGGCTGTGAGAGTGAGCGTACTCAGGCTCCAGCACAGGTGCAGTGGTGCTGCATTTTGCAGTCCTTCAGTGAGACATCCCCCTTTCTTGCAGAATCAAAGTTAGGCACAGGAGAGATTGGCATTTAATGGAGGTCTTCG